TGCTACTACTACTACTACTACTACCACTACCACCACCACCACCACCACCACCACCACCACCACTGTTATGACCTCTGTTACCACTGTCATTGCTACACTTTTACAACTACGACAACGACTACGACAATGACCACGACTACGACTACGACTCACCTGAAAGCCGTCCTGGAGATGGTGGTGTATCCACACATGTACAGGTTGAGGTTCACCAACTCCGTCAGTCTCCTCATCTCCCGGTAACCGAGGGCCGCCCCGCACGACGACTGCACCAGCGTGAGGTCCCTCACCGTCGCCGGCACATCCCCAGGGCAGGCGTTCCCCCCGCCGCCGAGACTCGAACTCGTGCACGACACGGTGGTGGGCGTGCACAGGTCGCAGGGGGTGGGGCAGGGTGGCTGTGACTGGGCGGTGGTGATGGTGGTGGTGACGTTGGGGGTAGGGTTGCGTTGGTTGCTGAGCCCTGTATGTGCTGACTGCGTTGTTGTTGTTGTTGGTGGTATTGTTGTAGTGATGATGAGGATGGTCGTGGTCGCGAGCAGGCGCTGAAAACGACGTAGTATGCTTCTGTCTGGGAAAGCCATTTACCTCCCTCCCGTCTCGTAGTTTGTTGTGGTACTGTTGGGCCTGCTGCAACGGTCACCTGTCCAAGACAATCACCTTAACATTATCCGTACGTTGTATTTTACTGTCGTATCCATACGACATGGGGAACTCTGTGGCACCATTTTCAAAGAGGAAATGTGGGTGGTTGACGGGTGCTCTGGTGTGGTTTGCTTCTGTTTTCCTGTCAAACTTCTATCGTCCTGATCTCTCCTACTTCTTTTCTGTGTTTGTTACTCTCCCGTAACACCTCTGATCTTCGGCACTTCTATGACCTTATTGTGTTGCAAGTGCCGTAAAACTCTTACTAAAACCAAAGCAAAGTGGAAATTTACTCGTTAATCCGGTCCGTACGCTTTGCATAGCAGTCTGTCAAAATGATTTTTGGAGAAATACTGAAAGTTTCAAAGAGATCTTCGTGCCAGAAGTATTCTAAAATGCTAAGAATACAACCCCCGGGGGTACAAAATGACCACAGGACGTACGGACAGGGTTTAAAAAAAACAAACAAGCCCCACTTCCCTCCTTCTGATTTAAGAAAAAAAAACGACACTGTCCAAGACATTCATCTGTCTAAGACACCCACTTATCTCCTCTATGACTATGGATGGCCATCTTGGAAAAATTTCGACTGTGATTGGTCGCTTTTAAGGACAAGCGTGCTAACCCGGATTTCGGAGGTTTCCAGAAATCTTGACTTACACCAAAAGTGGGCATTGCCCTACCTGTAGGAGAAGTTTGGTTTCATTGGTGTGTATAATTTGTTTGGTTATAGAGAAAACTCTTCTTGTCTTTTAAAGAAACTGAACATGGGGCAAAAGTTTTACCCTCAATTTACTCAAAACAGCATTTTTCGGGATAGCCCTCTTGGGCTTAAAAAACCACCAATTGTAGAAATGTTTTTAACGAGTTGTGTCACGACCATACACACACACCCACATACACGCACTCACTCACTCTCTCACTCAAACGGTTTGGTTTGCCCGTTCTGTGCCCTATCAAATATGTATCGTGTTCATCTCTCCCCCTCATTAAAAATTTCTTGTGTATGTTACTCTCTAGTAACGCCTCTAATATTTTTGGCTTTTAGATGACTTATTTGTGTGGTAAGTGTCGTAAAACTCTTTACTAAAACTAAAATATGCACATATTTAGACTAAGTGTGAGGATAAGTAAATCTCCACCCATCATGCCTCAAATACGTTAAAATAAGTGG